GTGCCACTCAGCCCCTTACCCCCATCCACCCACTGCCGCGTCTACGCTCGGGTACCTGATTTGGCCTTTGGGAATTATGCCACAATTAATTGCCTGTTTCCTCAGCGACGGGATGGGGCTCTGGAGCGAGCCCAAATGCCGGCTCGGGATGCGCCGAGCTCCCCGACACACCCCGTTTGGACCGGGCTAGGCGCGCACCTCCCCGAACGTTGGTGACCTCATGCCGCAGACATGGATGAGGTCACTCGGATAATTGCTCTCCCAAAACGATGTATCTTGCGGGAAGAGGATGTTATGAAGCCGGAGAACTTGCTAGGGCAAAAAAATACATTGCCCGCCCCTGGCTGAGAGCGCTCCGAGGGGAAACTCACGGGCAGAGCGTGCCAAGACCTCCGAACGACAGACTGCCGGCTCCAGGGGCATGGCAGGAGAAGAGACGCCGGCAGCCGAGATGCGGCGCTGGGGGAAGCCCGCGTCCGGGCTGCGCGGTGCCCTGCAAGCGCTTTTCCTTGAGGAAGGAGCTATGCTGGGCTGAGATCTTCTCCTTCCCCTGCCAGGCTGCCAGCTTCCCCCCAGCAGCTCCTCTCCCCCAGTTAAAGCTCCGGGACAGATCCGTGCGGATGCCTGGGGGTGCGCAGGGGGCTCGGCTCTGCCACTGGATGGAACCTCTGCAGCGCCGTGCCTCAGTTTCCCCACCTGCAAAACAGCAGGAGCGATGCTCTGTTACCCTCGCACAGCTCTCCAGCACCTTCCCTGCAAAAGCACCCCAGTTATCGCTCATCCAACCCTCCCTTCCCTTGCCAGGGGACGCTCCGATATGTTTTATCCTCCGGTTTAAAGCCGCTGCAGCCCGAGAGAGACGCGGGCTCAGCTCTTCTGGCAGCCCTCACCGAGGGGGGTGTCCCGTCACCAGGCTGTTCTCAGCCCTTTCTTCTCCCCGCAGCCCCGTGACAGGTATTGGAGCAGAAGCTGAGAACAGTCCCATCAAACCTGCGCAGTTACTGGGACAAGTCAGACGTGAAGGAGACCGAATAAGAGCGAGTTTCACAGGAAAACAAACAGAAATACTTTTGTCGCTGCACAAGGGAAAAAAAAAAAAAAA